CCAGGCTGGCCTCAAACTCAGAGATCTGCCTGTCTTTGCCTCCCAAGTGCTGGGATTAAAGGTGTCTGCCACCACCTCCCAGCTGCCAAAAATAGGACTTTCTTTCAATATTGAAAGTAAAGTAAGGCCATTTTCAAACAACCACAAGAAAACACTTTTGGTGCCTGTCCTGGACCTTGCTCTGTAGACCAGGCTGGCCTCGAACTCACAGAGATCCACCTGGCTCTGTCTCCTGAGTGCTGGGATTAAAGGCGTGCACCACCACCACCTGGCAAGAAAACACTTCATTACCAGCCACTTTTGCACACATGAGAAGAAAATAATCCCACACAGATGGTAGAGGGAAAACAAGCAAAGAAAACGATGAACATAAAACTCCGCAGAGTAGTAGTAACAGTGCCGTGCAGTTTAAGAACACGCTAGGTGTGGTGGCGTACACCTTAATCCTGGTACTCAGGAGGCAGAGGCTGGTGGATCTCTGTGAGTTCAAGGTCAGCCAGGACTACATACTGAGTTCCAGGACAGCCAGAGCTATGGAGAAACCCTGTCTCAAAAAAGCCATAATAAGTCAAGATTCCTCTAAGATGTCACTCACTGCTTCTGCCACCGGGGAAGTGCTTTCATTCCGTGAACTCAAGGGCTAATGGTACAAATCACCCATGCAATTTTTTTTTTGAGACAAGGTTTCTCTGTGTAACAGCTTTGGCTGTCCTTGAACTTGCTCTGTAGACCAGGCTGGCCTTGAACTCACAGAGATCCACTTGCCTCTGCCTCCCAAGTGCTGGGACTAAAGGTGTGCACCACCACAGCCTGGCCCATGTGATCTTTTAAAAAAAGTTTTGTTAATTATAATTTTTGTTTGTTTGACCTTGCACAGGTTGGCTATGAGCTCTTAAATTCACCTACCTCAGCCTCTTAAATGCTGAAATTAGGGGTGCACCATCACACTTGACTGTTGTATATACCATAAAAGGCACTATTCTGCTATCTTTTGTAATGCAATGATTTTTAGTAAATGTACAGAATTGCACAACCATTAGCACAAGCCTATTTTAGAACTGCCCCATCACCCCAAAAGCTGCCTGGGGCCCATGTACAGCCCCTTTCCACTCCCTTCCCAGGCACCACTGAGCTTCTTAATGGCTTTTGGGGCGGGTTGTTTTGTTTTGTTTGACAAGGCTTATTTAACAGCCCTGGCTGTCCTGGAACTTGCTTTTTAACCAGGCTGGCTTCACTCATAGAGATCCACCTGCCACTGCTTCTTGCATGCTGGGCTAAAGGTGCCCATCTTAGCAGTGCTGAGGACCAAACTCAACCTTGTGCATGTCAGGCAAGTACTCTGCCACTGGGTTACACTCCCAGCCCACCATATGTCTTTTCTTTCAGTTAACATTACATCACTTCTGAATTGCAGATGTGGTTGCATATACTTGTAACCCCATCTCTTGGCAGGCTGAGGTAGGGAGGCAGTGAGTTCAAGGTCAGCCTGGCCAACTGTAGAAACCCTAATAAAAACAATAATATAAGCGTCCGTGTGTTTATTTTATAAGTGGGCTGTCAGACTGCCGGGGCTTGGCGGGACTCGGAGAGAAAACTCTCCAGTTTCAAATTTAAATTTGAAAATTAGAGCTGTGGGCTGGAGAGATGGCTCATTGGTTAAGAACAGTGGCTGTTCTTCCAGAGGACCAGGTTTCATTTCCCAGCATCCACATGGCAGCTCACAACTGTCTGTAACTCCAGTTCCATGGGATCCAACACCCTCATACTGATATACATGCAGGCAAAACACCAATGCACATAAAATTAAAAGAAGAAAATAAAGAAAAGAAAAATGGAAATAGATTTACAAAGAAAAGAAAAGAAAATTAGAGCTGTGAGATGGCTCAGTGGGTAAAGGTGTCTACCGCCAACCTGATGACCTGAATTCAGTCCCTAGGACCTACATGGTAGATGGAGAGACTGATTTCTGTAAGTTGTCCTCTGACCTATGAACACATACACACACACATACAATAAATAATACACATAAAGACTCATATGCGCCGGGCAGTGGTGGCGCACGCCTTTAATCCCAGCACTCGGGAAGCAGAGCCAGGCGGATCTCTGTGAGTTCGAGGCCAGCCTGGACTACCAAGT